AGCATATTTGGGAAATCCCTCAAGGTTTCGAGGATAATCGTAACAATATGTATTCTAAAGTTCTGAGTGGGCCTACCAAATATAATTCGGTTCGAGGCACTATATAATATAACCGCCATGTACCCGAAGTAATTTAATTTTTGTAAAAGCTTTTCAAATCTTTTGTTAAGCTATTTCAATAAGGCCTATTTCCCTTGCCATTTTTTTTTTAGAACTGGAAGCGGTCCGAATTCCTTGGACTCGGACTCGACAAAACCAGTTCTTTATATACTCGAAAACCGCACATCACTAATATGCAGTGTTACACTTAGCGAACACTGCAGCGAACATTAGTCGATGTTCAGACACGGAAACTTTTGTTGCTGCAACTCGGAGCTTGTGAGGGAGGGGGCGACGAGGAAAGGGGACCGAGTACCGAGTTGCGACGTTCACACGACTGTAGGGTCTACGTATCTGGACCAAATATACATATGTTTATCTGCACAATGAGAGTTCCTCCAGCTGATTCCCAAAATCTCTTGGAAAATGTTTATGCTGTGTCAACAACAACAACGAAAATTCGGCTGCCGCTGGTGTTATGTCACCCATGCCTTACTTGGCGTCAAGCGCCAAACAAAAAGGAGAGGAAATTAGAAAACGTCAAAAATTATGCAGCCTTGATTTGGGGATAGCGCGCGCTCAGAGAACGTAAATTTATGTTCGCTGGCTCGCTGACTTTTGCAAGCATGTGAAGACGGCCGGTTAGGGACGGCAGTTACGCTAATACAAATTCGCCGCCGTTACAATAGATGCCCACAAGCGCTGCACTCTATGGTGTTTACAGTTTTTGCCAATTCGTTTTGACACTTCGTTTGTTATTTATCGGAGAAAATATGAGTTAAATATCAGTTTTTTTTTCGCAATATTTAAAGCATTTAACAAAACAAAACGCCTTCTAGAATCATGGAGAATACAACACAACGTTTGGTGCCACAAAGCCCACTACTACAAGCTGCCATCAACAGCGGCAGCCCAACGAAAGATGGCTGGCGTGATGAATTCTACTCGAACAATAATGGCTCGCTAAAAAATAAGATTGAGATAAATCGCATATTTGGAAAGAAGTTTCATTACCAAAAAGCCAAGGATGATAATAATTGGATATTACCGCCACCCAGGGAGTTATTAAGCGAATTTTATCAGCTGGAGCCATTGCAGCAGCTAAAGCCTAAATTGAATGGCGTGAAGTGTAAATTGAATGATTACATACTTGAAGATTGGAGTCTACATACAAGACGGCAAGATCCTTCTAATGAAATTCCATGGCGTCTTAAAAATGAAACTAAAGCGGAATTTGTGACAATTGCATGGTGTAAATTTTTCGAGTGCCTTCACACTTATCCGCTAGTTAAGGGACCCACACTGAATTCTTTGCACCTGTGCGAATTGCCCGGAGCTTTTATTGCGGCTCTAAATCATTACATGTATTCGTCATTCAAGAAGGAAGAGGTAAAGTATACTTTAGGGATACATTTATGATGATTGTGTGATATTCAAATGCTACCACTTGTTTAGGTGCAATGGCGCTGGCTGTCGACTACACTTAATCCGTATTACGAAGGTAATCCTACAAACGGCATGATTTCTGATGACCGATTTATGTTCCACACATTCGATAATTGGTTAATGCACGAGGATTTCACTGGCAATATTATTAATCGGGACAATATTGAACAAATGGAAGAGCAGTGCAAAGAGCGCTTGGAAGGCAATGTTCAACTAATAACGGCTGATGGATCAATAGATTGCGTTGATGCGCCCGATTGTCAAGAAGAAGTTGTGGCATCTCTTCATTTTGCCGAAATCACTACAGCCTTACATATTTTGGCTGAAGGTGGTTGTTTTGTAATGAAAATGTTTACACTGTTTGAATCCACAAATGTCTGCAAACTTTTTCTGCTAAACTGCGTTTTTGACGAGGTGCATGTATTTAAGCCTGCCACTTCAAAACGCGGTAACTCGGAGATCTACGTAATTTGTATTGGCTACAAAAAGAAAACGAAGTACTTGCCAGAGACTTTACAACTGATGAAGGAAAATGTCGAATGTGCGAACATATTTCCACTTTTCCCAAAATCCTATTTACCGAATGACTTTTTGCTGCAGCACGAGATATGCTCGCGTCTTTTTATGAATCTGCAAATTCAATCTATCGAAGCGAACATTCAAGCATATGAAGTGAAGCCTACACGACGCCAGGTCAATTATAAGCAACAGCTGCGCACTGATATCGCAAATGAATTTTATAGGCGCTATAAAGTACATAGCATCGCCGAGGAAGACAAAATTCTATTTGGATGCCCAAAGACAGATGAGAACTATACGAATGCACCATTTTGTAAAGGTTCATATTCAGAACGCGAAATGGCTAAGGAAACTACTGTGGAGGAACGCATTTTCGCACTGTATCGCTTTATAAATAATCTAGAGAAACTCCTGGACTTTAATTATGGTGTGGAGTTTAAAGAATGTTTTGATACAAAAAAATCGTCATCGGCTGAGCTCCGCATTTATCGAGGTGTTGCTTTCTCAGAGCTGCATAGCAGTCTTTTTGCACATCCCTTTGTAATGCAATTGCATCAGAAACTTATGGAGGCGTTTTGTCGAGATCCTATTTATATGGTAACACCCATTTGCAGGGTAGACGACAAGGAAATTACATTAAGCGCAGATAAAACTAAAGGTTTTTCCCTTGTTCCACATGAATTTTATATGGCATTGTTAGATGCTATATCTGAAAGACCACCTCAGCGAATAATTTTATCACATTTTGCATTTTTAACACACCTATCAGTATCCATATTGCGCTTTTTAACCTTGTGCATTTTCGCTCAATTAAAGATTTGTGCAGAGCCGCGGTTTCTGATCGAGCTGGAAGGCAAGAGTAATGAATATACTCGAGAACAAAAATTAACTTTGGAAAAGTTGCGCAATATCCTATCAGAAGATTCAAATGTGTTATGCATTATGCCTATTGAACAACTGCACCGCAACGATTTTGCCAATGAACTTATAAATTATAATAATCAACTCTTAATGAAGAACTTCAAACTAGCTTTAAAAAACTAAGTTTACATATGTTTATTAAATATAAGAATTTCTACTGAATTTAGATTAAAAGAAGGAACAAATTATACTGGTTTTTAGCTTGTTCTCGCAAAATTGTGTTTTGCATACATATGAGCGTATGGGTCAAGCCCTTAAATTCTAATTCCTCGAACATTCAAACATAATAGGGTTTGCAAATTACTATTACTTTAAGTGAAACGAATGAAAAACAGGAAAATATCTATAATTTCAAAGCAAATCATTCATTATTTTCAGTAATATAATATGCAGCAGCATGGCGCACAGTCTGTATCTTATTCAAATCGCCTACATCTTTTCCATGGTTTCTGCCATATATATTTAGAGTAATTTTACAAATGCGTCCGTGACTGGAAATGCACCTCAATCCAATGCTGATATATTTTATTCCGTATTTTACATATATTTTTCTACTTCACTTGAATAAATTTTTGGCAGCGCTTCTTTCCTAATCTGTCGGTCGTTTTTCGCTATTCTTTCGGGTGTGCTCTTCAGCATTTTTCATAAAACGTTTTCGATCCCTCAGATACTCTTCAGCCAGGTCGGCACGCAGCGGATGTTCTGGCTCAGGATCATTAATTAGGGCAATCAATGCTTGAACCACTTGGTCTGTACGTGTTGCAGGCTTCCAGTTTTCGGTCGAAATAATTGGTAGGCATACCTGCCCCTTCTCATCAATATTTGGGTGATAGATCTTCGTCTTAAAAATTATCTTTGGCGGTTTGAAGGGGTACTCCGCGGGAAAATTAATTTCAATTCGAAATGCACCTTTATTATAGGGCGCACTATCTGGCACTATTAAGCCTGTCCAGCGCAGCAAATTTTCTTCGTCTGCATTAATTTCTCGGAAGGATTTCAGGCCACACGCTTGCAGATCAGTGAGCTCTTTTCGAAGCCTGCGCGGTGCAGTCATCTCGTACTAAACGATTTTCGCTACTCTCTTCTTTAAGAGTTACCCACAAATCTATTTGCAGGTTAATATATTAAAAAAAAAGACAATTTTGCAAAATTTAGTAAAATTCCAGAATTAACTTCTGCCCACCTTTACGTTTCTTTTGGATGTTTAATGAAGAATGTCATATAAAACGTCAAGAACGTCAAAATAAAAAAAATATAAAATTGTGCGAATTATTTGGTCCCTAAAGCTGGATTAAGATGAGGCGATTCAACATTGCTCCAAAAAAAACGTTCGTGTAAATGGTGATTCAAAAATCGATTGCCTCAAAGTAAAAGGTGTTTGCACGAGGCGATTTTGCGTTCAACTTTTGTGTTCAACTCACGCAGGGTTGCACGAAAAAAGTTGAATGGCTAAATATTGGCTGGCGACCAACCAAAAGTATAATGCAAAGCTGAACAATGCAAACGCCTTTTCATGGCGAATATTTTTATATTTTGATACTTTTAGCCATTCAATTTTTTTCGTGCAACCCTGCGTGAGTTGAACGCAAAAGTTCCCTGAAAAATCGCCTCGTGCAAAAGTCGCAGTAGACAGCAACCCAACTTTAACATGCGATTATCGCCTGTCAAAAAATCGCCTCACGTAAAGGCAGCTTAACCGATTCCGGTAGCGCATTTCGCCCCATGTAGTGCTCAGCAATGACTTGTAGGGATATAAGTGCTCATATTATCATTATCACTAATTACAAAATTTCCTATCAAAGTATTCATTTTTGTTCAGACCATGGGAAAAAATTGAGTACTTTCCCCTCAATGTTGTCATCAGAAAGTCCTCAGTACTAATAGTCAAACACGGTGCACGGTGCAGTGCGGTTCTTGATAGTCAAACTACTCATTTACAGTGACGGGCAAAACTGTAACATGATGTAACACTTTTTATTTCAGCCATCGCTATCTTTCCAAGTTCCAACGACTTTCATACTTTTGTTGTATATTCTTGTTGGTACATCCCTACTCCCTTTCTCATAACGATTTGACAATAAAAAAAACCAGCAGTCAAAAGTGTAAATTAAGGCAGATGTTACAGTTTTGCACTCATACATTTTTAAGAACTTTTTAACAATTTCCACGGAAAAAAAGAACTACTAACACAATGTTCAGTACTCTTTTGCTTGTTTCAGTTCCTGGATACGATCTGGCATACCTTATTTTTATCTCTGTAAAAATTCTGGAGGTATATCCTTAGTTTGCTTTCACAGCTAGACCATCGTACAGTTCCATAAGTCGACGTTCAGACTGATAGAAAATTTAGTTTGTTATCCATATATACATACATATATGTTATGTATAGGTTTTATAAAAATTGTATTAATGTAAAAAACATATTAAACAAATCTTTGCAAATCCATTGTTTAAATTCCCTCATGTACATGTGTATGTATGTATATAGCAGAGTTGTGAAAAATGCATTAATTTTTTAATGCGTTAATGATATTTAAAGCAATACTGTTAATGTAACAAATTAATGCATTAATTTATGAAATTTAATGCAAATGAATATTTCAATGCATTAATTCTGAAAAATGTGCTAATGAAATTTTTTTTCATTAAATTATCCAAGCTAATGCTAATGAAAAAATTTTAATGCACTAAAATGTTTAATACTTTTGCTCGTTTGCATTATTAAAAACCATTAAATTTTTATTCTAGTAAAATATAAATAACCTCTTTTGGAAGGACTTGGATTTAGTTTTGGACTAAGTTTTTTCAGGTTCATTATATTATGTGTATTTGTAGAAAAATTCTTCTAAACATTAATAAATGTTTTATGAAAATGAAAGCCAATGTGCATACAACGCAGAGTGCTTTTGTAGATTTTTATGTTAATTGTTGATGTATACCGATTACATATATTAAGTATGAGCCAAAAACGGACAGATAGCCAGTTTAGCAGCGCATGTACACGACTGAGGACCTACTCTGATCTAAATCAATCAATAAACCGTTTTTTTTAGCTCCATTGGACAAGGTGATTTTACCTATTTAACGACAAATGCCATTGAACTTGACATAGTGAAAACCAGCCTTAACGTCCGTCACTATCTTTTTTGACCTTAAAATTCTACCCTCAACGTCAGCAATAAATTATTGCAATAGCATTCATTTAAACATTTTAATGTTAATACAAAAAAAAAATCATTAGCATTATTTCTTCGGAATTAATGCATTGAAATTTTCATTCACATTAAATAACAAAAATTAATGCATTAATCTTTTTCATTTACATTAAAATGCTATGCATTAAAAAATGTAATGCATTTTTCACAACTCTGGTATATAGTTAATGGAATATTAATTTTTTACTTTTTTTATTTTTTACGAAACCCTTCTAAAGAACTAAATCAAAAACTATCACCCCTATTGCGAGTGTCGACTAGTAGTAGTTAAACGACGTTTATTCGATTAACGATTATCAGTGGCATTTTCAAAGTCGTTTTCTCGTTCAATAAGTGAGTGAGAATAGTTTAAAGTCGCCCATCCTTCTTCAAACAAACACTTGTAGAAAGATGAGCGATTAAAAGCTATTGTTGTTGTTGTAGTCGCTACAACAACAACAACAAACCCCGCCCAGATCGGCTAGTCCCTCAATTGTTGTCGACGAGCTCTACTAGCGGTAGCCCCAGGAAGCGTGCAGCCTCGGTGGGGTCTATCCATAGGGACAGGGGCGTCAGTAGGGTGGAGTTCAGTGGCCATGCGAAGAGATGCTGTGAGTCATGGGGCGTCTGTCCGCATGACGGCCATTCATTTAGAACATCTTCGTTTAGTCTGCTCAAATATGAGTTCGACCTGTTGCAGCAAGCATGGCGCAATTGGGCTATTGTGGTCCGAGTATTACGGTATGCTCCTTAATAGGGAGTATATGAGCCTCGTCGTGCCCCAGATTTCATTGTCTTTGCCCCAGGTACTGCTGGCTAGCGACTTGAGGACCTTGTTGCGGCTTTGTACTTTGACAATTGCGGTTGTATGCGCCGAGAAGGAGAGTAGACTGTCGAAGGTTACTCCGAGGATCATTATGTTGTTCACCGTCGGTATTGGTTCGTCATCGACGTGAATACCCAGTTGCAGTCGGACCTCCCTCGTCCAAGTGGGGAAAAGTGTTGCTGAAGATTTTATAGCGTAGAGGGTCAGGCTCCCAGACGCTTATTGAACGAGGAATCGACATTCACAATACTATGGAAAAGTGATAATCGAAAAGAGTCGGTTATCTACTAGTCGTTTATTGCAGTCGACATTCAAAATTTCCATGAAAGTAACGAAGATTAGTAAGATGAATATATATAAGAAGTATATGCGGAAGTATTGATTCATGTACATACCTATGCAAAGTTGTCTCCAGCATGGGGAACCTCACTACACATTGTGCTTTTACTTTGGTAACTATTCATGTATGTATGTACATATGTATGTATGTATGTATGAAGGTATGTATGTATTATTTAGTACACGCATGCACTCACAAGGTCAATAAAATTTCACTGGTTAGAATTTCTACGTTTATTTGGAGATGACCTTCGCAAATATATTTGCTATTTGTATATTTTTTCACTGAATGCCAAATTTATTTAAACAGTCGTTTTAAAAGGGCACTAAACTATTCACGCTATCAAATGCCGCATTACTATATAAATCCACAATTATTTCGAAATCAACATTCACAACCACTCTAACTTTCAATTGAACTAATCTACATTTTTCGACGATATAGTCAAAATGAAATTTCTCAAAGTTTTTCTACCATTGCTCCTTATTGCAATTTTTTCATTGAAAATTTGCAAGGCACAAACTTCAAATAGTACTAGCACAACGAATAGCACTACGCCAACGGGGACAGGTTCTGCTAAAAAAGTCTACATTAGTAATCTTCGCTATACAGCAGTAAGACGGGTAAAGAACAATAATTCAGGAAGCAGCAGCAGTAACAGCAGTAACAGGAACAGGAACAGGAACAGGAGAGCTAACAGAAATAGGAATGGAAGACGTAGCAGGAATGCAAACAGAGGACGTAGATCCAATCGCGGTGCCGGAAGCGCCAATGGCAGAAGACGCGGTGGCAATAGAAGGCGTAATTCTGTTATCAGACTTAACTAAAATTTTGGAAAAATGTATTGCTTTTTGAAAATTATTATCTACGATATAAGGATGTTGCAAATGTTAATCTTAATGAATAAATACATACGTACTATGTACATAGTAAACATGCATTCATTTTTTTAATTTGTTATGATGTACTA